CCCGGCCCCGGCGCGTCGGCCCCGCCCCGGCGCGGCGCCTCACTGAAGATGGCGGCGCGGCCGGCACGGCCCGCCGCAGGGATGGCGGTGCCCCGCCCCGGGCCGCCCGCTGAAAGGCGCTCGGGGCGTGCCTGGCTGAGCCTGTGTTTTATCTCGTGTTTGTTTGACCGCTCCCGCTCTGCTCGTCTTGACATCCCTAGAGTCAGAAGTAAAGATTTAGAGAATTACAGTCAGAGAATTACAGAGAATGAAAATCGGATTGGGAAATACAATCTTGCCTTATCACAGAAGGACAGAATTTCCTGAGTTAGAAGGGATCCATCAGGATCATTAAGTCCAACTCCTGGCCCTCCACAGGACATCCCAAGAATCCCACCATGTGCCTGAGAGCATTTCAAATGCCTCTGTCAGGCTGGTGCTGTGACCACTGCCCTGGGGAGCCTGTCCCAGTGCCCAACCTCTAAATAGTAATAGTAGTGTGAAATAGAAATAGAAATAGTAGTGTACATCTGCCTAATATGGGATTCTTGTTTATGCAGGCTAATCTTCTGGGAATTTCACATTTGGATTGGTGTTCACAGGAGAGGGCTGTGGGGAAATTCCTTCATCTGGGTTCCTTAACAGTAAATGGAAACAGAAAGGCTCCTACTACCCACAGTTCAGCACAAGAACTTAATTTACATGCTGCAAACTTGCACTTGGAGAAGCTGATCTTTGTCTTTGGACTTGAAAGGGAGTGTGAGTGTCCAGTCTTGCTTAGGACAAGAGAGTAAAATATTTAATTTATGAAAAGATGCCCTTATTAAAATGTGTATATATATATTTTTTAGGGCACAGAATATGTTTCAATTAAAATGCTACTCTGAAAATCAATAAAATTTCTTTCAAATATTGAGATACTGTTATTTTTCTGAAATAAAGAATTTTATTTTGAAAATATATGAAAAATATTAACATAAATGAACTCTTCCTGTTTCTTGATTGAAGTAATTTCTGAAATTTAGTCTATTTGCATAGTTTTGATTTTCCTGAAACTGGTTTTTTTGTTTACCTATTAATTACGATTAATTACGTATATTTTTCCCAGTTCAACTGAAAGTTTCAAACCTCTGTGATACCAGAAAGCTATTTTGCTTCTCTTGAATGCCTCTGATTTTACAAACTGTGAAAGATACCATTGAAAAAGTGCTGTGCCCTCACTGAAGGTGTTTGTTCTTATTTTATGTCTGCCAAAACACCAAACAAGCAAAGCTTGCACTTCCAAGCACTTAAACCAGAATTTAGAGCATGCATGCCTGCAGCCTTACCTCAGCATGCTCTAGCAGACACCTCCATACTCTTCCTTCCTAAGTGGATGTTTCCATCTCTCAGACAGTGTTCATTCAAGTCACTGGCAACAGAACACCCCTCATGCAGAATTTTACAAGTTCATGTAAGCCATTGGTCTGTGATGCCATCTAGCATCCTCTTTTCCCCACCCAGGCTATCATAGCCACATCAGTGAAAATAGTTCCACATAGTGAAAAAGTGCAAAGTAGTTGTTAGAAAAAGAAAAAATATTCTAATGTATGCCATTAAAAATTCATCTAGAGGTAGTTAAGCGTTAAAATCCAAGTACTTGCTTGTGTGACCTTTCTATTGCTGCAATTGCATCAATGGTACCAATGTCTTTGCAGTCATTTCTCTATAGTTAAGTTGAATTCCCTCTGAGTTTGGAAGAAAGGAAGATAAATGAGCTGGCCATCTCCTATTGCTGCAATTGCATCAATGGTTTCAGTGTCTTTGCAGTCATTTCTCTATAGTTGAATTCCCTCTGAGTTTGGAAGAAAGGAAGATAAATGAGCTGGCCATCTCAGTAAAATCCAGCTAGACTTGTTATGTAAGGAGAAACTTTTAAGAGAAACTATTTTATTTGAAGATAAAAAAGATTTAATTTGAAAAGAGTCTGAAGCACACAAACTTGAAAATAAAATGTATTGAACTACATATAGCAGTATCTATTCAAACTACTTAATTGTGGCTCATGGCATTTGTTGGATTGAAGAAGGTGACACAAAAGGGTCAGGAGAGTGGTTCTACCTTTCTTCATTCTACCTTTCTTCTAAATATTTTGTTTTCCTGTGATAAAAATACATAGATTATTTCTTCAGGTAAACTGAGTGATGGAAAAGGTTTGAACAAATGGAAGTATTATAGGTATTTGTCACGGTTTAACCCCAGCCAGCAGCTAAGCTTGTTTGAAAATTGAAAAATGTGCTGTGGTGGGAAGTGGCAGGAAGGAAAAGATTAAATAAACTAAGAATCTGGCTAGACTCATTATTATACTTGCACCATTCTGGTGAAGTCAACTTTCCATCAGAGTTAATGATTACTTGTATGCGTCATTCTGAGAACGCTGTAGGAGAGAGGTTACTAAAGAGTCTACTTCTCAGTTCCCAAGACAGTTTGTCCACTGTCCTCTCAAATTAAAACATCTTGTACCACTTGTGTAGTCCTCCTCCATACTACAAAATAGATAAATAATTTTTTCACTTAACACATTGCCTCAGTGCTCTGGGGGCACTGCCAGGCCTGGCTGTGCCTGCTCAGCCTCCCTCAGTGCCCAATACCCCTGCTACTGAAATGTCCTGCTACTCAGGACATTTCCCAAACAGCCATTGCCAAGATGTCATCGTATTTCACCCCACAATCAGAATACTCTCAATTTTCTGGTCTCCAGTTGCAGGTACCCTCTGTGAGTCCCACAAATACCTTGCAAATGCTCTTGGTCCTCTCCTAGTAAATCCACACATGTTTTAGGAGAGTACTTTTGTCACCAAGGTACATAAGGGTAGAACTCAGCACTAATGTGGGTTAAAGAATACCCACCCTTGCCAAGTGAGGCTGTACCACTTACAGCTAGAAATTAAAGATTAATCAAGCTCTGGAACAAATTAAAAGAATGAAAGGGTAAGAACCACCCCTTCAGCATAAAAATCTTGGTTATAGCTTTCATCCAAGGCCTGCTTGTGTATTTTGTATTAAACAGAAACTAGAATAAGCAACCAAAATCCACATTTCTGAATACTTCATATACCACTCCCCTCATCCATTGAAGAGCATTTCCAGCATTTTTGCACACAGTTAGTGTTTACTTTGATATAAAAACCACTTTCATAGCAAGAGAGATCCTTAGAAGACATGCTGAATGGACTGTGGTGTTGCCATTAGGGCATTCTAAGGGCATGGGGTATAAAATTTCTTGTATTGCATATTTACCTCTAGGCCTGACCCATAGAGGCTGTGACTGTCACACTGCAGGTTTTCAAAGTCCTCTCTTAATTAAGGTTTACCACACTAAAGCCTTCATAAAGCATCTTCTTCTGGCAATGCCTGCTTTCATAGCCAAACAGATGCAGATCTGCAGAAGCAAAAGTCATTAGTACGGAGGGCTGGATGTCCCCATTTGATGTATGTTCAGGTTTTCCTTCAGACTAGCCCGATCCTCTGGATTGAAAACCCGTTAGTGGCTGAAGCATGCTGAGGTACCCTCGGAGCATCAATAACTGAAGCACCAGAATGATTACCTCTTTTCTTAAAGCTGGTGTTCACAGCAAATGTGCCCTCATCTATACTGTCTCAACACAATTTCTTGGTTCAGTAAAGTAAGTTAGTGTCTCAGTAAGTCTGTGTACTTTGGAAAACACAGTGGTATATCCCTGGCCAAATGGAATTCCTAAATGAAGGTTAGGTGTTGTAAATGTCTAATGATTACTTCCATCACTGAATTTGCCAGCATAATTTATATTAAATACAAACTGTTTGACATTTTCCTTGTCGCCAAAACGGCTGCACAACATTTATAATGGAAAAACACAATTCAAAACACTTACAGGGAAGAGGAATCAAATCAGAAGGATTTGAGGCAATCTGTAGCTGTTGGAATTATTCTATCTGCATGATACAATACATATTTTCATTGAAAATAACAACTTCACCTGACATTACTTCATTTAAGATACCTGCAGGAAAGCATACTCCCAACCTTATCCTGGTACTGGAACATGGTGTTTTCCTGCAAACGTCAGAAAACTCTCATGAAAGCTCCTCACCTTCTCCCGTTGGAGATTATCACTGCGCTCTCGGTCCCTCGGGCTTCCCTCCAGCTCGGCAGGCAGGCGAGTCTCTGCAGCCGCACAAACCCCTTTCCAGCTCGGTGGGCAGGCAGGATGCTGCAGATCCCGAGACCCCGCTCCAGCTCGACGGGCAGATGGGATCCTGCAGCTCCTCAAGACCCCCTGTCCAGCTCGGTAGGCAGGAGAGCTGCTGCAAGCCCCAAACCCCATCCATCTCGGTGGGCAGGCGGGCTCCTGCCCCCGC